AATATTTCAATAGTTTAACAGTAGCATATATAGCTTTCCACTGTCACTGTCCTTCATTGTCCTGCAAAATCACATCTGCTGACCTTCTACACAACAGTAACCAGCTGGTCATCCAAGTTTTTGTTACTGTTTTTTGATGTGAACGTGTCTTAAATGCACCTAAACCTATGGGACTACTTTCTGCATGTCTGGTTCTCAGGGGTCCCCCTTCCTGATCACCAACTGGACACCCCTGGGGAACCAGAACAGGACGTGACAGGTCAAGGTCAGGCTGTCGGGTCAGAGGTCAGGAAGCAATTATGGGTGGTTAGAGGTGGTGTGATGGCAGAGACTACACCAGCTTTGATTTTCTGAATGAATAGGCACGAATGGTGGATCAAGCGCTTCATAATCCTGCCAACAGCATTTCAGTTGAAGCACCAGTCAGTGATTTATAAATCAGAACTATCTGTGAGTTAGTTCAATGATGTGTTGTATTGGCGATTCGGGGCAAATGTCAAATCTGACTAATGCTAGCTAGAGTGGACTTAATTTTCCCATTTGAACTCAATGTTTTAGAGAAACACTTTTTTATTCATTCTGATGCAGCAGTTATGATCTTAACATATACTGTTTAGGTCCGTAGCCAGCTTGGTGAAAATAATTTTTGCATAAATTACACTAGAAGTATAAATACTTTTCCTGGCATCACAATATGCATGCTTTTTTATGCACAAAAGTATTTCCTAAATTTTTACTTACCATACTATTATTTTTCTTCTAAAGTATTTAATTATGTATTTAAACTGTATGCTTTCTAAATAATGTTAAGATATATATTTCTATTTAAAATGTTTAATAAAGAAATTTGAAATGTTGGGAAAAATGTTTGTGTACAGTGCAAATTTATTATTAATCTGTCATTAAAAAAACAAACATTTAAATTGGTTGAACATCTAAACTGCAGTCTATTGTTATTTATTAGGCAAATACACTGGCCAGTGCACTTAACACTCCTTAAAACTTGAATTTGTCTTTTTGGATAATAAAAATAAATCAAACATAATATTAATAAATGCATCACAATTTTTCAGCCTTCCAAATGAATTTGAAAAGCAATAAATAACAACAATAGCCTAGTATTAAAATAATCTTAATTAAGGGCTGCTTTTCGGCACACATTTTTGGCTTCTTATACGATTATTTTCAATTTTTGTAGCAGAAAAAAAGGGACAAGGAAGCTCATGTATAGGACAAAAAACATGACCCCCCCCCAGGTTATGACAGGTTAATAATACAGTTTTTTTTTTATAATAGTTTAATAATAAATTTGTACTGTACACAAGCATTTCCTCAACATTTCATAAATTAAATAGTTTTTTAAGTGTTGCAAGAAGTTCTGAACTATTACTTTCAGTAATTGTTCGTTTTTTTTGTCAAATATTATCATCTTAGTGCAATAAATATTTTAGTGATTTAAATGTAAACCTGGACCAAAAAAGAGGTCTTATGTTGCATTGGTTATTTATTGGCAATGGCAAAATTATAGAGTTTTATTTCATGCCAAAAATCATTGGCACATTTATTGATAACATTCCAAGCCAGTGAAATATTTTAGTTTTTTGAACCACAGAATTTCCAAAAAGTAGTTTCTCAGCCAAATAGTCTTATCCTTACAAACCAAACATCAGTTGAAAGCTTATTTATTCATATTTCATGTGATGTATACATATCAGTTAAAAAAAAAAAAAAAAAAAAAACGCTTATGACTGGTTTTGTTGTCCAGGCTCACAAATAATCTTTTCCCTACTATAAAAAGGCAAAAGAAACTTTGCATGGTTCTTCTCGAAACCATCAATGCAAATAAAGTACCTTTATTTTTAAGAATGTACAAACGGAAATTCCTGCACCACTGGTCCTTGTCATTACGAGATGTCCCCTATTTACAATTCATATGAAAATGATCATGAAACAGTTTAGATTGAATAAAAACAGCATGTATGCACTGAAAAAGACAGCCTATAAAAACTTGTTGTTTGAGTTCCACGATTAACAAAGACTGTAACCAGGCATCATAAGGGAATAATGTGCAAAACTCTTTGAACTCGGCCAACTGTTCTATAATAGATACAAAACATGCAGATGAATCAGCATGTTTGTGCCACATGCCTTTTAAAGGGGAAGTGTGACCAGAAACTGAACGACTTTTAAAACATCATCCTTGTCTTGTGTTATTTGGACACACAGATACTCACAGCATTAGTTGAGTCGTGTTGTTGTGTCCGGTTGAGTCGGGCTGCACAATCAACAACATGTATAACATTATCCTGCTCTTCCTGCTGCTGTGAAGATCATGTTCTTTGCTGTCTGCTTCACCTGAAGCACAGAGGAATTACTGTCAGCAAATCTAATTCCCTTCAGTACAGTATAAATGAGATATTTTACACAAATGCTTGGTCAGTTACTTGTGTTTTTCTGATCACCAAGGCTGCATTAGTTTAATTAAACATTTTTGACATTGATGGTTTTATGCATTTTCATTACACAATAGATTATTTATATTAATTTACATAATGTAAGTACATTAATACATTAAAATTGATCAATAGATTAGTGTTGTTCATGCCAATATTTTTATTATTAAGAATTTTAGCAGACATTTTCAATAACGTAAATACACTTTTTAAAAATACAAATATAAAACTTACATTTTAACATTTAGACATTTAAAAAAGGGAAAAGACAATGAAAAACAACCAACAGTCAAAATGATAACCAAAAATGATCACAACCAAAAATGATAATTAAACAACCACCCACCCAACCAACCACCCACCCACCAGTGCTATCTAATGTTAAAAGTTGGTGCTAAAGGCGTAGACAACAATTATTCATTTTCTTTTTCCGGATTAGTCCTATAATTAATCAGGGGTAGGCACAGCAGAATGAACCGCCAATTTATCCAGCACGTTTTACGCAGCAGATGTCCCTCCAGCCACAAACTAACACTGGGAAACATTGTAAACAGGTTAATCACAAGTTTGTAGAAAGTAAATAATTGGGATCACATTTTTTTTCAATTAACAAAATCTTGTCTATTAGGCTATACCTGATTTTTTCCAGATGTAATGTACCCGTAAACTCTGTCAACCACAATTTAAGAGCTAGAACTTCTTTTTTTTGGCAGAGATCAACTTATGTGAAACAAACTGTTGTTGTACTCGCGTTGTAGTCTCAAAAATTCTTCGGAAACTCCATACTGTATATATATATATATATATATATATATATATATATATATATATATATATAGGATTGATCTGGTTCAATCGGAATGTCAATCAGAATTTACACGAAGTAATGAAGCATATGAAGAACTTTAAACTGAATGAGACAATACCCAAAATTGTTTTTCTTTCTTAAAATGTTTTCCACTATGGCACCTAAATTGCAACAAAGTGAGCTACAGAGCAAACTTATTCAATTACAAATCATAGAGATTATTCAGCTGTTTTGTGGTATTTATTTGGTGTTTTGCAAAAAAAAAAAAAAAAAATAAATAAATAAAAAATCCACCAAAATAATTCTATATTCATCAAATATGTCCCTGTGAGTATCATATGTGTGAAAAGAAAAAAGAAAAGAAACAAAAGCTATAGGCACACATGAGCCTTAGTTGTTTATTATACAAAATATTATTTTACAAAAACTTGAGTAATCTGAATGAATATGTCAGTTCAGACACACACACACACACACACACACACACACACACACACACACACACACACACACACACACACACACACACACACACACACACACACATACTTGTTAACCTATATTTGTGAGGACTTTGACAAAACATAGTACTTGTGAAGGCTATGCATTGTAAGGGTCATAGGAAATTTTTGATTTGTTAAATCACCTTTAGGTGTCACCAGAAGCACCAAAATCACTTTAAACATAACAACAAGAAAACACTAACATGACAAATCATTGGACTTGCGAGGTCCGACAATGATTTTTAAATGTGACGTCAATCATTACCACTTCCGGGTCCAAACTTGACAAGCAATAAACAATAAAAGCGGTTTGGCAAAGTGCTTTTTTCAGTGTCTTGTCTTTTAATAAATATTGCCATATTGTCTGTTAAAATAAATATTAAAGCATTTAAATATTATTATAATGTCACATCTAAAATGAAAACTTTACATTACCTATAGACATTTGGATGAGAGATCTGTGAGCAATTCCATGAAATTATCAACCTTACCATGTAATCAAAGTTTCTACCAAAGGTTTTTACAATACTTGCAGCACATATGTCAGCATTTGGTGGATCAAATACTTATGTGAGGTCTCTTTTAATAGCATTTTTTTTAAAGTTCATATAGCATTATTTTAATTGTTAGTAAATGATTTTTCATAGTCAAGTAGGGCTATTTTCAGGTTTGTCACATTTATAATGCTACAAACGAACATAAACGACTTTGATCATTTGTTTTCTTGTCGGCTTAGTCCCTTTATTAATCCGGGGTCGCCACAGCGGAATGAACCGCCAACTTATCCAGCTTATGTTTTACGCAGCAGATGCCCTTCCATACATCCATACACACTCATACACTGCGAATAATTTAGTTTACCCAATCCCCCATAGCGCATGTGTTTAGACAGTAACCGGAGCACCCGGAGGAAACCCACGCCAACACAGGGAGAACATGCAAACTCCACAAAGACACACCAACTGACCCAGCCGGGACTCGAACCAGCGACCTTCTTGCTGTGAGGCGACAGCACTACTATTGCGTCGCCGACTTTGATTATTTGATTTTTTAAAATTATTTGATTATTATTATTATTATAGCATTATCTTATAGCATGATGAATAGCCTAAATGCAAGGGACAACTCTAAATGGTATTATCCTGAGTTTGAGTTCCACAAACAATTTTGGAATGATAATCAAACATAAAATTATTTAAAATTGAAATCTATTAATAAAGACAATGCATCAAACAGTTGAGGGGGAAAAAATCCAACATAACAATGTTGCAAATTTTTTTATTTCAGTACAGGCCGCACTGAGCAAGACAACTGTAAATAAAGTGCTTTGAGTTCTAACCTAACACAAAAGTCGTCTGATTTCTCGAACATCAAGTACGAACCTCATTAAACAAGACCACTGTAAATAAAGTGCTTTGACTTGTAACATAACACAAAAGTCGACTGATTTCTCGATCTCAGTACAGGCCGCATTGAGCAAGACAACTGTAAATAAAGTGCTTTGAGTTCTAACCTAACACAAAAGTCGTCTGATTTCTCGAACATCAAGTACGAACCTCATTAAACAAGACCACTGTAAATAAAGTGCTTTGACTTGTAACATAACACAAAAGTCGACTGATTTCTCGATCTCAGTACAGGCCGCATTGAGCAAGACAACTGTAAATAAAGTGCTTTGAGTTCTAACCTAACACAAAAGTCGTCTGATTTCTCGAACATCAAGTACGAACCTCATTAAACAAGACCACTGTAAATAAAGTGCTTTGACTTGTAACATAACACAAAAGTCGACTGATTTCTCGATCTCAGTACAGGCCGCATTGAGCAAGACAACTGTAAATAAAGTGCTTTGAGTTCCGACCTAACACAAAAGTCGACTGATTTCTCGAACATCAAGTACGAACCTCATTAAACAAGACCACTGTAAGTAAATGATTTGTAATGAAGTACAAATGTACAATATAAAGGTGGACTCTTAAAACATAATTTCTGTAGAAATGCTAATAATGTCATTTACCTTAAGAAACAAAAAATAGTAACTAAAATAAAATTTTACTCCAGCACCTAATAAGTAATTGTGGCAAGTTTCTTTTTCATACTCTGAATCGTATTATGTACAAAGTTTTTTATGTCACGCCACGATCTTGAGCCTAGAACAGGATTTTTGTCCAGACATGACAGGCAATCTGCCATCCCAGGTACTTTTCTTAATGCAAGAAACTTGCGCATTGTATCTTTTACGGCCAACTGTTCCTCGGGACTCCATGGCCTCTTAGGGGCTTTCTTTCCTAAAACAAACAAACAAAAAGACGAAATTAACAAACCAAATCCTTGCAAATGTTGTTGCTATATGTATGAATCTGAAAGATTTAGAGTCATGGACAAAATTATTGCCACTTTTGGTAAATATGGGCAAAGACAGCTGTAAAAATAAATCTGCATGGTTTCTCCTTGAGCTCTTTTAGATTAAAATTCAGCAAAATTCTAACGTATTAATCTTAAACGATTTAATGTAAGATGAAGGTAACACTTTATTTTGATCGTCCATTTGAGCATTAGTAGACTGTTTGCTTAATATGTGCTGATACTGCTCTTTCAACAAACATTTAACTGACTATAAGAAACCTTGCAAGTACATGTCAACTTACACTAACTCTAACCCCAAGCCCAACCTTACAGTCAACTTATAATCTAATGGGAATTAGTTGGCATGTATCTTAAATTAAACAAACGGACCATCAAAATAAAGTGTGACAGAGATGAAATATAACTTTATGAATTTTTTCTTTAATACTCCCTGGCCACAATTATAAGCACCCTTAGAAATTCTTATGAGTAAATTATCTCCTAAATATAATTTTATTGAAGGTTTCAATTTCTTAGCACACCATGGTGACAGGAAACATGATGTTGTCTGGTCATGACGTCTTTTTGCAAAGATTAATAAGTTAATATTAGTAACACAAAGCCCAAACCAATCTAATCATTTGTCACAAAGGGTAAAACCAAATAATATACTTTTGATGTACAGCAAAAGATTGTTGATCTTTACATAATACAAAGTGGCTTTAAGAAAATACTTAAAAATTAAATATTCTCATTTCCAACATCAGGGAAATAAAGAAGTTTAATGGACTGGAGATGTTAAATATCTGATTGAAACATGATGTGTGTCAATATTGTCTTTATGTGCAGCAAGGAAAACAATTTAAGAGACCAAATACTCTATAAAGATCACAGATGTAAAATTGCAGAATTTTTTATTTTTTAATAGTAAAAATAAAGGAAAACTACATCTCCATCAAAACAAGTCATTTTAGACACTGTTAAAGAAACCAATCATCTGCTGTCATGCAAAACCCAACTACACTATAGTAATTTACCATACTGGAACTTCAGCCAGGACTGGCTTCTATCGCCATTAGAAATTAGATTTTTTTTTCCTCATTTTATTTCCCTAACCCTAAGCTAGAACACATTAAAGGTTTGGTACACACAGGGATAGCACCAGTGTGCAGCATCCACCTGGATGACGCGACGGCAGCCATTTTTGCGCTAGACCACACACCACACACCAGCTGATAGGTGGAGAGGAGAGAGAGTGATAAAGCCAATTAGGATATGGGGAGGGTTAGGAGGCCATAATGGACAGAGGCCAGTGGGCAGATCTTCCGACAACAGAATAGCTTTCCCATGTGGTTTCTTCCATCTAATTGTACAACGAAGGTCCAAGACATCTTGTTCAGATATATCGTAACCATAGAATTATGAGGTTTTATCTGACATTTTTGACAAAATTGAGTTATTGACATATTCTTATTAAATGACATTATGGAATGTTTTTATAAGTTGTTTACATTTTAATTAAAAAAAACAAATGTTACACATACTGTTTGCTATGGATTGCAAAAACTTTGAAGCTCAGTATCTCAAAATCATTCAAGATGCAGATAGAACCTTGTAATTCTAAGGTGATGAAATGTCATCATATTTTATATCAAAACAGCCAAAAGATAACCAACAGATTAAAAAAATTTTTTGATTCTGCCATAAACCTCCCAGTTCCTATGGAAAATGAGTATTCACAAACCTTGTCAGGCATGAAGGGGAAAAAATCAGAGCTGTTTTTCATGCAAACTGAAGTTGCAGAAAGTTTTGAATACAAGGGTGCCAACAATTATGGCCAGAGAAAAAAAAAATTCATAACGTTATATTCCCCTCACGTTAAATTGTATAACTTCAATGAAAATGTTATCATTTTGCTGATTACTTGATTAAAAGAACAACAGGAAAAACTGCAGATTTATTTTTACAGCCGTCTTTGCCACTATTTACCAAGGGTGACAATTTTGTCCATGACTGTATGTGAGAATCCAGATTCAGTGTTACGACTTGATGCGTCCTGAATGCCTTTTAATTAATTTGATTCATAATGAACATCAATTAAATTCATTACACAATATTCAAATCACGGATTTTTGAAAGGTCTTACTGCATATCTTTTTTGACGATAATGGCTTTTCGCCCCTGACCTTGGCGTCACTAGCACAGTGCTCTAATCACTGAGAGACAGCAAAGCTTTCAAGTCAGTTAAACCTCAAGGCCTTTTTTTATGATGCCATTGTCCCCACTCCCCACAGCATAGTATTACTTCATTATCTAGACTGGAGTTTGCATACATTATTATGATGTTGTAATGTTAAGTTTGTGAAATTAGCTTATGATATCAAAGGAACACAAGAGCAATTTATAAAAATATTCTTAAAAAAAATCCTGCAATACATCATACGTTGATTAGTATATGCACTGCTGATGTCTGACAAACTTAATAGCAGTTTGGGACGTGGTAAATTCACAATCATGTGAATTATGTAGCGCACATGAAATTCTTTTTCTTGCTGTGACAGCTAAAGCTAAATAAGGAATTTAAACTGACTCAGGCAATGGTGTGTATTATTAATATACCTAACTAATATAGAAACAAAATGTATCAAACTGTGACCATCTAAAACATAATTTACTGAAGTTTCAGGCAAGCTGCTTCCAATTAAAAGCTCCTTTATGTGCTTTGTCTTAAGTTTAAATAAAAATATAAATATAATGTAAATACTGACCAGATTTTATAGATGGTTGCATGAAAGATTCATCCTCTGAGAACTCTACTGGAAATTACAACAACATGTAAGTTTAACAGTATTACACATACAATGTTTATTTGTAAAACATAATTTACATATTGACTACTGACCTGATTCTAAAAGTCTGTTTTTATGTGCAGATTTACTGACGGATTTTCTTGAAGCAGAAGTGTGTTCCTCCTCAACTTCTGTGAGCACTTTAACAGCTAACAACAATAAACAGTTGACATGTTCAAAACGCTGTACTGACATTTAATTTTTAACGACGCATACATTGTTGGTTCATGACGACTCACCTGTGTCAGAACTTTGTCGTTTGCGTTTAGATGATTTACTGACAAATTTTCTTGAAGAAGTGTGTTCCTTCTCATCTAAATATAACGACAATAAACAATTTGTTTAAATGCTTTAGTAAACGAACATCAGAACACAATTTTTAACAACGCATACATTGTTGGTTCATGACGACTCACCTGTGTCAGAACTTAATCGTTTGCGTTTAGATGATTTACTGATGGATTTTCTTGAAGAAGTGTGTTCCTTCTCATCTAAATATAACGACAATAAACAGTTTGTTTGAATGCTTTAGTAAACGAACATCAGAACACAATTTTTAACGACGCATACATTGTTGGTTCATGACGACTCACCTGTGTCAGAACTTTGTCGTTTGCGTTTAGATGATTTACTGACGTATTTTCTTGAAGAAGTGTGTTCCTTCTCATCTAAATATAACGACAATAAACAGTTTGTTTAAATGCTTTAGTAACCGAACATCAGAACACAATTTTTAACAACGCATACATTGTTGGTTCATGACAACTCACCTGTGTCAGAACTTTGTCGTTTGCGTTTAGATGATTTACTGACGGATTTTCTTGAAGCAGAAGTGTGTTCCTCCTCAACTTCTGTGAGCACTTTAACAGCTAACAACAATAAACAGTTGACATGTTCAAAACGCTGTACTGACATTTAATTTTTAACGACGCATACATTGTTGGTTCATGACGACTCACCTGTGTCAGAACTTTGTCGTTTGCGTTTAGATGATTTACTGATGGATTTTCTTGAAGAAGTGTGTTCCTTCTCATCTAAATATAACGACAATAAACAGTTTGTTTGAATGCTTTAGTAAACGAACATCAGAACACAATTTTTAACGACGCATACATTGTTGGTTCATGACAACTCACCTGTGTCAGAACTTTGTCGTTTGCGTTTAGATGATTTACTGATGGATTTTCTTGAAGAAGTGTGTTCCTTCTCATCTAAATATAACGACAATAAACAGTTTGTTTGAATGCTTTAGTAAACGAACATCAGAACACAATTTTTAACGACGCATACATTGTTGGTTCATGACGACTCACCTGTGTCAGAACTTTGTCGTTTGCATTGAGAAGAGTGACTGACGGATTTTCTTGAAGCAGAAGTGTGTTCCTTCTCATCTAAATATAACGACAATAAACAGTTTGTTTGAATGCTTTAGTAAACGAACATCAGAACACAATTTTTAACGACGCATACATTGTTGGTTCATGACAACTCACCTGTGTCAGAACTTTGTCGTTTGCGTTTAGATGATTTACTGACGGATTTTCTTGAAGCAGAAGTGTGTTCCTCCTCAACTTCTGTGAGCACTTTAACAGCTAACAACAATAAACAGTTGACATGTTCAAAACGCTGTACTGACATTTAATTTTTAACGACGCATACATTGTTGGTTCATGACGACTCACCTGTGTCAGAACTTTGTCGTTTGCGTTTAGATGATTTACTGATGGATTTTCTTGAAGAAGTGTGTTCCTTCTCATCTAAATATAACGACAATAAACAGTTTGTTTGAATGCTTTAGTAAACGAACATCAGAACACAATTTTTAACGACGCATACATTGTTGGTTCATGACAACTCACCTGTGTCAGAACTTTGTCGTTTGCGTTTAGATGATTTACTGATGGATTTTCTTGAAGAAGTGTGTTCCTTCTCATCTAAATATAACGACAATAAACAGTTTGTTTGAATGCTTTAGTAAACGAACATCAGAACACAATTTTTAACGACGCATACATTGTTGGTTCATGACGACTCACCTGTGTCAGAACTTTGTCGTTTGTGTTGAGAAGAGTGACTGATGGATTTTCTTGAAGCAGAAGTGTGTTCCTCCTCATCTAAATATAACAACAATTTTGAAAAGTTAATGTTGGCACCTTTTATGGATTAAACAAGCAAACTTTCAGTTCATAGCTTATGATAAAATCACAATAATACTTACCCATATCTGTAGTTTGACTTAGTTCTTCTCCAGTCACTGTCAGACACACACAAAAAAATTTGCCTCAAGAGAAATATACATAAAAACAGATCAAGCTCATTAAACATATTACAAAGCTCTCTGGCACTTTTTTGCAAGGTTTGTATGACCACTTTAAACTGATTAACACTATAATTTGGGTACTGCGAGTCATCTTGACTGGTGCAGTTTTATGCTAATTTATTCATTTCACATTTATTTTTGAACAAATTAAGTGTTCATCATTTTTTAAATGCTGTGTCTTATTTAAAGACAGTAAGAAAGCCAACAAGAAAGGGTTGTTTAGAAATAAGCCAAGACAGAAATCAAATATTAAAAATCTAAAAGAAAAAATATTAAAAACAGTATTACTATTACTTTAAGTTACTGTAGTAAAAAACAAACTAAATCCACTGTACTTACCATCAGTGCTAAACTGGATTTCCTCCAAAGATCTTCCTTTGTATACTCCAGACCCCTTCTCTAGAGACAACAGCAACTTGCTTACTTTTGCTAGTTGTATGGTGTTTTCCGACAATCTGTAATATTCGCGGTGAACGCGTATGTCGTGACCCATAAATTTAGCTAACTGGTCAAGCTCATTATCTTTTAAGTTCATAATCTGACACAGAGTTGCCACTTGTTTTCTCAGTTGGGTTGAAGTCAGGCTTTTTGGGTCTTTGGCACCACACACTGCTGCATATTTTCGTAGACAGTCTGACCCACGAATATGGGCTGAACACTCAACTTTTGCAAAAACATAAGGATTGTCTTTTGTGACCCCAACTTTCTCTCTGCTTCCAATTAAAAGATCAAGTGAGTCAACCATGTCTTTGGTCAGTAGTACTGGTACTTTTTTCCCTCTTTTTCCTCGAATTTCCAATCTAGTCAATTCACTGCACAGTTGCTGCTCTAACTTAGTCAGAGATTTAACAACATCCTGGTTGGCAGGCTTCACATTCCTCTTTTCATAAACTGTAAGGAGTAGTTTAGAAGCCTCTCCTTCACGTCTCCTATTGAACAAAATAATCTGACAAAGTATTGTTTCTGCTAAAACTTTCCAGTCAGCAGCGTTTGCATTTTTCCTTAGTTTTTCTTTTGACACCTCCTCCTGCTTTCTCAAGTGTTTCTGTAATGCCATGACATCTGCAGTAAGCGGTATGGTATCACCCTTATTCCATCTGGCTTGCTGAAGGGTGTTGAGAGCCTTGCTTGAAATATTGGTTCTCCAGTGACTGTCAATAAGTTTGATGAAGTTTTTTACATTCCTTTCTGTCTCAGTGTCTCCAGACATAAGACTCTGGCCTAAGCTTACCTGACATGCCTTCTTTAATGAGTAACCAATTTTGAGAGCTAAAGAAGGAGTTTTAAAAAGATTTGATTCAGCATTGTAGCTGCTTACCTCCTTGCATGCAGTGATCGCCAGAACAAAGTTTTGAGGAACACACAGTTTCTCAAGTGTTTCCACTGACTTAGATAGCTCTTTCACCTTAACCATAAACCTTGCAAGTTCTCGCATTTTTTGTACAATGTATGGGTGCTGAGCTCGGTCGTGGCCGCACTTTGTATAAATGGACTCGCCAAACAACATGATCAAGCGATCCTCGGTTATTGCTTTGGCGATACTGTCCTCACGCATACCCATCAAAAGTGTTCTAATACCAGCAGGGGTGTCTGACCCCATAGGTAGAAGGCAAGCTGCAGTGGACCGCACTCTCTCTCCTTTTTTTCGTTTAACAACGTTCTCTGCTCTGCATGCCTTTGAGTGTTTCCATAAATCTTTCTTCATGAAAAACCCAAGACACTGAGGGCAAGGAAGAAAATCTGAAATGTCTGCAGCCACGGTTGGTTGACGCCAAGTTACAATTTCTCCATCTTTGTTTTCCAAAACCTCTACATTGTGAAAATAGTTCCCTTTATTTCGAATTCCCTCTAGAAGATCTTTTCTTTTTTTAGAGTGTTTTGGAAAAGAGAAAGCTTTTGAAACCTCAGGTTCATTGGCATGCCGATTTTCAAGGTGTCGTGATATCTTGCTCTGGGGTTTCTGACAGTACAAACAGTACTGCTTTTTGTTCCATTTTCTTGTGCCTTTGGGACAATTAACAGTTGTTTTGATTGTCATCTTTTTTTTTTTCTTGCTTGTATGTAAAGAATCCTTATCTGAAGGAATCAATGTGTCAATAGTGTTTAATTGCACCCCTGACTCCCTTTCTGAATCAAGCTCATCAGCAGTGCTCTCTTTGTCTGATGGAACATATTCACTACATGTTTCTGATTCACTTGAGTCCTGTTTACTGGTTTCGTTCTCTGTGTCTATGTCACTCTTCTCAGCAGACCCGTTCTCTGTGTCTATGTCACTCTTCTCAGCAGACCCGTTCTCTGTGTCTATGTCACTCTTCTCAGCAGACCCGTTCTCTGTTGGCACCTCACCTTTGTCGTTTGATTGTTCCTGTTAAGAAAATATAAATATTTAACTTTGACATTTTAGCAGGTTTAAATAGGACTGTTTATTTCTTTTTGTTTTATTTTCTTTTTTTTTGTCAGTGAAAACATGTTATTGACAAATAATTTTGTCATTGTGTCATGTTTTCACTGACAAATAAGAAGATAACTAAATAAAAAAGGCCTAATCTTCCCAATATTGTAAAGTGGTAACCAGCATGACGCTTGAAGGAGAAGGACTGGTTGTCAAATACTATGACTTAATTCTGGCTGTATTAGGGTCTACTCACACTATGCCATCTGTACCGTGGCCAGGCCCGTTTCCCGGACAGTTTGAGAAGTGTGAGTGCGCTGAATTGGGCTCAAGCACGGTTTACTTGGCCGGCCCTGGCCCGGTTGGAAGAGGTGTGCCTGAGCGCGGTTCACTTGGGCAAAGCCCGAAACCGAAAGCGAGACGTGACTTTAAGGAGCTGTTTCATATGGATTTATTAAGCATTCTTACTGTTTAGTGATCGCAAACTGCCGTAGTATATTAAAGACGCAAACCCCTCACTGAACGACAGCTGCGCATTATGATTATGAGCGCCAAAAGTGGCGGATCTGTTCAGTGAAATATCTGACTGCGTGTCCCCGCATCCCTAAGGACTGTTTGGCGAAATATCTGACTGAATATCACTGCATATCAAACCATTGACACGATATAACTAGAGAAATCTCCACTGTGCTGCTGAGTGAGAGAGTGCTTCTCACTGAACAGCACAACAGCGATGACGTAAGTGTGCCCAGGCCCGATTGTGGTGTCAGTGCGGGCTGTCGGGGGAGACGGGAGGGGGGACAAGCATGCTTTGGCCTGGTTCAAGGCAACTGTACCTAGTGTGAGTACGGCCTCAGATGAGGTGATGGTTGTAGTGGCAATTTCTATGGTAAAATTATAATATCAGCTGTGTTTGACAATCACTGATGTCCTAACTGATCAGTATGTGCAGCACCTCACACACTTAAACACGGCTATTGTCTACAACGCAGTGCAACATTTTACCCAGCCCCACTTGTGTTTTGCTGATAATTCCTCAGCTCTTACTGACATACTATGACATTAATGCGTTGATGTAGACGTGCACATGTATTACTCATCTTATTATTTGTGTATGTCTAATTATCGATTTATTGACCTATTGACTGTTATGCTACAGTATACTACATATATTTATATGTTGTTTATACCCCTATTTCTTCTTATATTCTACATTAAGTTGTTTAATTTAATGTAATAACATTGTGTGAAAATATGACCTTAATTTATTAAATCTGGACAAATAAAAACATTAACCGTTATAAAAAAATAATAGGTGAAATCAACATTTGATGCTCATCTCAGAAATTAGATTTAAAGTATAATTTTATACAAATACCCATGTGTTTTACTTGTTTAATTTGTAAAACATTTTAGGACATCAAAATACATGCCTTCTATTTAATCTTTGTATTATAATATATAGAGTACTCAAATCAGCAGTAAAAGTTCAAACAAAACATTGTTTTTTAGTGTACAAGGCCTGAACATAAACATATTATTTTGTAAATGGGGAGTTATTCACTTTGTAGGGGATCTGTAATAATCAATGTTTAATATGTATTAAAGACAAATATGAAAAGATAAACACATTTGAAGGCATGATACTGTCAGACTACAGACATTTTTTTCTTTTATATTAAAATGTTTTTACAGGAAGATTTTGATGTCCCCCACACCCTTTGGCACAACCTCCCCTCCCCCAATTAATCAAGTTTAAACATTAACATAGATGTAACAACTCATACGACTATCATTTAATCAAGTTTAAACATTACATGCAAAAAATGCATAAAGCGATTTACAGTACAACGTGTACAATAATGTAACGTTTAGCAGGGCTGCTAACTTTTGGTTTTAGGTTGGAGTGAGAATTTTCTCCCTCCCCAAGTGTGGCACAACTTATTGGTTTCAAAAAGCCCTGATTTGTGTGGTGACATTATGATTTTTCTCACTGCTTCTAATTATAGAACCTCCCTGATGCCAAATAAAAAAAAATATCAAGAATGATTGGTATACTTAAATCACTTGGTCAGGTTTGCCTCTGACTGGATCCACGCAATAGCCAGTAACGTTAAACACTAACAAGCTTCACTGGGCAGGTGTTACACGCATCTATATACTTGAAGAAGGGGATTTTTGCTTTTATAGCTGACTTTATAAGAGGCTATTTGCTTGACGAAGGGGTTTTTGGCGTGAGAATACTGTCGAAGGCTCGAGAGTTGGCAGGCCAGTGTTTAGATAAAGAGGACTCGACGAAGCATCTAGTATATAACTAAGTTAGCAATCATGTAACCCATAGTTATAAACACGGAACATATATTGAATAATATAAACCATTACTTACCCCATTCTGTAAATTGTTGTCATATGTCTCGGTCCTCATTTTTGCCTTGTACCTTTCTTCACATTTCTTATGGTGAGACCGCAGTGCCGCCATCCTCCTACTATACCGATCCATCTTTTCCCGGGAAATGTCTGATGACGTCATTCTCAACGTAGCGTAAATTGCGTGAAATTTGCGCATCTGCTCACGTTACCTAACTAATTGTGAGCTGCGTCAAACTTTAAATACTGCTTCTTGATACTTTTACTGACGATATTAACACCTTAAACGACCAAATAAACACATATGCGACAAGAGAAAGTCACCTTTACATGCTTTCCTGTGTAACCTATTTACAGCGATCTCATTAAGTGTTAAGTGAAACTCATTTTAATGTGTGAATGAGTTATATTTTACCACATAGTTCTCTCTCTATCTGTAGCCTATTTATTTATAACCTTCAGTTTTTAATATGGAATTAAATACAATTAAGAAACATTTATGATTATTTATGAAATTATACTTTCATGACCAGAATGTTCAAAGGCACAGCCTTTCTTCCAAGCATTTTTATAGTAATAAATAACTAGTCAGGCACCACATGTGCGTGTTATATATATATATATATATATATATATATATATATATATATATATATATATATATATATAAATAAATATATATACATGTGTGTATATATATATATATATATATATATATATATATATATATATATATATATATGTGTGTGTGTGTGTATATATATATATAAATGTGACATGGTCTGACAGAAGCATGGGGACAACTGTAAAATTATTTTACAAATAATAAATAAAATTACTTGTGGAATTTATTATTTCAATAAAGTTTTTTAAATAAGTATTTAGCACAACAAAACTCTTAAAGCTGCAGGTTTAAACTGGGCTGAGGACAATGACAGGCCTTGTACATTTTAGTGCTTTTAATGAAAAAAAAAATCTAAGAAACCAAATGAATGACATATTCCTTTACAGAACCACTCACAAAAATCAACCATCAGGCCATTTTAGACATTTGTTTGGAATGAAATACTTTTTATTCGCTGTATTTGTTTTTATTTCAGGGAGAGATCATGTATGTTTCTGGTAGAATGTGCCGTGTATGTATGCATGCATGCATGCATGTTTCTATCCATCCATCCATCCATCCGATTGTACATACGTGTATACAAATAAAATCTGGTGTCTGAATAATATATACATATAAATATATAACTAGTTATTATAAGATACTATAGTGTATTGATGTAAATGTGGAGCACAGTAAACTGACATAATACACCCAAAACCTCCACATCCAGTGGATTAAAGCTATCAGGGACTGGGGAATCTGCTACATCGCCTGTGCTTTAGCCAATCAGTCTGAGTCTGAAAATACTGAAAGTTTACAGCAGACACTACAGGCTGACATTAAGAGCCAACTACAGACAATTGTGTAAATAGTTTTAATTATAGTGTACATTTCTATCAGTTATTCTACAACATCAAGATTAATTTATTCTAACACAGCTTAACTTTTGACCATATTTTATCACCATTTTCTGAATTTTACAGAAATGTTGAGTAGTGACTCAATGCTCAATAAGAGAATCAAAAGGTTTTAAATAAAAGGAACACAGCAGAGAAACTAAGAGATGTGTTCCCATGCAGCAAACTTAAACAGAACAGTGATGTGCTCAAATTATTCTTCTTTTCTTGGACTGGATTGTCTTATAAACAAAAGTCGTTTACGTTAATCCAGGGTCTGGAGGGAATAAATGGATTGTTTTGAAGGTAAGCCTGCCTGCCCACTTTTCCTGGAGATTTTTTCAGAACAAAGGGTTGTCCAGGGTTGCCTTCACTGCAGCAGCCTGCTCATCAGCTGTCCTAGGCCTCACTGCAGCCTTCTGTCCTGAAAAACAAAAGGTCAAAAATTGTGTAAATTAGGGGAGCACACACACACACACATATTATATTGTGATATATGTTGTGTGCAATATCACATTAGTTGTTTTAACTATATGCCAAATCATAATATAGAGCCTGTTGATCATTTAGTTCATCAATTCACTACGTGCTGCACTAATGTGAGGTGTGCATGTTAAAATGATCAAAGAAACGGTGAGGAAACAGCTTGAAAATCTCACACTCAGACACCAGCGCTCATCAAACCCTTCATTAATACCACACAATAACCTGATTAAACCCTCAATCGTCAAAATAAACTAGCCAATCACCAAAATGCAAGAACTACTGTGATGTTATTGCATTTAGAGTAAGTGATGAACAGTAAAGGAACTGCTGTAAATAACTGACGACAGCATTGAGGCTGAAGGACTAAAGTCACCATCTTGGATGGACTGAAGGTGAGTAAATTAACAACAAATGACATTTTTGGGTGAATTAATCCCCTTAAGACTTTCTCTTAAATACTAGTTTCACCAACTAACAGTTAGACAAGCAGTAATCAGACTTGATTTTCAGATTCAAGTTTAATCTAAGCCTAATCTACATTTTGGTGACTGAATTTAAATTTATGAGCAGTCAATCCTTAGGGAACAAATGAAAAGGCTCAGTTCTTAAGATCAATGAGTGTGTTTGTTTTGCAGGAGAGCAACTGAGTGATCCTTCTGCGTTACCTGTCATCATTTGAATGATCTCCTGATTCTGGCCAGTGATGACAGAACTTGAGGTACGGGGACATGTGTCTTCATTATCAGAGTCTTCTGAAATCACAACAGCACAAGACACTGTTTATTTATTATCTGTCAACACGCAGATTCTACAGCTAGGGCTGGGTGGTAAAATCGGTATCGATATTTATTGACTGAACATCGTTGTCAATATCAATAAAAAAGATTTGGTGTGTAGTTTCGGTATGAATCGCTACAGTTTTATTAAAATGTGTCTGCTGAGCGCGCGCCTTGGAAGCAGTGCCAATAAGCTTAGGGTCTCAGTTTGTCATTTCCAATGGTCGCACATGTTATGCAAGCGCCGCACACGTAACGCTAGTTAAAAACATCTAAACTTTTCCGAATGCCGTGAGCGCACCGTAACCAATCTACTTCAAACTTTGTATGGAATACACACATTTCAGTAATAACGGCAGACTAATGACCTCAGACAAACACAGCGCATCCCAACACTGCAGAGCCTTATACTTTTCTCCATAAACTTGCACTGGAGCTGCAGCAATGGTCTCTGTTTGTCATCCTCTGACAAAACGCTTGATGGTCACCTAGTTACGAGAAACGCCAGGGGAGCGCGAGCCCATTGTAAATGGTCAAGGAAACCGAAACCACGTGCTTGCGCTTATTACTTCAGGTCAGAATAACAACACATGTGAAAATGAGTGCGGCGGCTGGCAGCAGTGAGGAGATTGTAAATTAAATGGATGCAGAGCCAGAGTGGCTTTTTGGTTTCTTTTCTTGTGCATCCCAGCCTCTAGCTCCACATCTGAAAGAGTTTCAGCATAGGGGTATTGTAATCATTTAACTTCACTATCTGTAATGTTGCAGTGTGTGTTTAAATAATGATGGTTAGTTCCTTTACTAAAGCTCAGATTTGATGATCATAATTTGTGTTGTTGACAGAGTTTGAGGTTTACGGTATCATTATTATTCACACCTTACAGATGTTGATCTACCTTAAAGTTTGCTTTGATTGTTCAGCGTTTACACTTCACCATTGCACTTAACATTTATATATAATTATATATAATATATATATATATATATATATATATATATATATATATATATATATATATATATAAATATAATATAATATTTATCAAGTTTAAGTGTCTCTTCAACACGTATGTTTATGAGATCTTTTGTTTTAATGTTTGCATAGTTCGCATAGTTAAATGCTATTAAAACTATCTGCCTTAGTAATGTTAGTAAATTAAAATAAAGTGGTTACATAAAAAAATCCTAATATTCCTAAATGTATTAAAAAATATTCAATAATTATCGGTATCGAATGATATGAAACATGATATTGTGATACATTTTGTTTTGAATATCGCCCAGCCCTATCTACAACACACTGAAGTAAACTAGCAGATACTGACCAGTTTGAGCGAGGTGACGCTTGTGGCAGACAGAGGTACGGGGACATGTGTCTTCATTATCAGAGTCTTCTGGAATTACAACAGCACAAAACAGTGTTCATTTATTATCTTTCAACAGGAAGATTCAACAACACACTGAAATAAATTACCACATACTGACCAGTTTAAGTGAGGTGACGCTGGTGGCTGACAGAGGTACATGGACAATGGACATGTCTCTTCATTTTAGAGTCTTCTGGAAAAAGCAACAGGCAACTCAATGTTGGAAGGCAGAATTGGTTTGTTATCATAACAAAAACTCTCCAGGCAAAAGCGATGCTGCTTATAAATCAACCCACATTTAAAAAGTGGGTAATTATTACTGTATTTAAGTGCTAGTACCTAGTCCAGGGATCTGTTATTTGAATACAGCTAAAAACATCTACAGTAAGATGATTTGACAGATTTCACATTGTGGTCATTTTTCTCTGGTTGTGGGTCTTCAAACGCATTTGCAGATTTGATCTGAATAAAGTTTCTAAAAATATTACTGTGCATTCTTGTGTTCATTGGATTTGCCAGATATATTGACTAGAGAGGTGCACAACAACTTTAAATGGAAAATTTATAATGATCCTAATGACGATGGGATGTGAATAATGGAATTATGAATAAACGAGAAATAAATGACGGTTTCCTGCACTACTACACCATTACAAACTGATGATAATATCTGATGATGACTGGCATGTGTGTGTAGGGGCGTGACAACCACAAAGCTGATGATGACTGGCTAAAAACACATATGATGCTTTTAAAAAGGTAGACGGAGCCTCTATATTAAAGAAATAAAACTAGTTTAGTATTGTTTATGCTAAATGTTAAATAACCAGTAGTAGTAGTGAGAAAAGTCAATCATGTCAGTGTATTTTGACTAAGTACTTTACAAATCACATTTCCATATGATCAGCTTGCCGTGAATAGAGCCAGAAGTTCAGGCATACGGCGTCAGCGAGAGCGAGAGTGTACTCTGCAGTGATTACAGTACTCACAAAAGCAATTTATTTATATTATACCAAGATTAAAACATGAACGCGTCTCCTGAGGAGCAGTCACTGCACTTGCAGTGGATTATAATAATAAGGTGTACGTCTCCAGTTGGAGCTGTCACTGCACTTGCAGTGGATTATAATAATAAGGTGTACAACTCCAGTTGAACCGGTCACTGCACTTGCAGTGGATTATAATAAGGTGTACGACTCCAGTTGAACCGGTCACTGCACTTGCAGTGGATTATAATAATAAGGTGTACGACTCCAGTTGGACCGGTCACTGCACTTGCAGTGGATTATAATAATAAGGTGTACGACTCCAGTTGGACCGGTCACTGCACTTGCAGTGGATTATAATAATAAGGTGTACGACTCCAGTTGGACCGGTCACTGCACTTGCAGTGGATTATAATAATAAGGTGTACGACTCCAGTTGGACCGGTCACTGCACTTGCAGTGGATTATAATAATAAGGTGTACGACTCCAGTTGGACCGGTCACTGCACTTGCAGTGGATTATAATAATAAGGTGTACGACTCCAGTTGAACCGGTCACTGCACTTGCAGTTGATTATAATAAGGTGCACGTCTCCAGTTGGAGCTGTCACTGTGCTTGCAGTGGATTATAATAATAAGGTGTACGTCTCCAGTTGGAGCTGTCACTGCGCTTGCAGTGGATTATAATAAGGTGTACGACTCCAGTGGGAGCGGTCACTGCACTTGCAGTGGTGCATAATAATAAGGTGTGCTTCTCCTGTATGAGTGGTCACTGCCCTAGCAGCAGTATGTATTAAGGTGTGCGTCTCCCATAGGAGCGGTCACTGCACTAGCAGCAGTGTGTAATAAGGGTGTGCGTCCCCAGTGAGAGTGGTCACTGCACTAGCAGTGGTGCATAAAAAGGTGTCTGTCTGCAGTGGGAGCGGTCACTGCAGTAGCGTTTGTGCATAATAATAATGTGAGCATCTCCCGTGGGAGCTGTCACTGCGCATGCAGTGGTGCATAATAATGTGTGTGACTCCTGTAGGAGCGGTCACTGCGCTTATGGAGATGCATGACAATAAGGTATGCGACACCTATAGGAGCGATCACTGCGCTTGCGGTGGTGCATGGTTGCGGTGGTGCATCCAGTGGGAGCAGTCACTGTGCTTAAATTTCAGTCAGTCAATTTCAGCAGTCACTGTGTACGTAAATTTACTGCTAGCAGCGGCAACCTTATGATATAACTACTTGGTGGGATTAAAGACCAAGGATTAGAAAAGGCTTAGGGTTTAAAATAGTAAAAGGGGGCAATGATGGGGCATTTCCACTGACTTTTACAATTAATTTCTATGAAAAACTTAAATGATAGAATTAAAAGGAACTTAAGGTAGTGCAAGGAGCGTTGAGGAGTAGCCAAAGGTTTTGAAAGGAGTTCCTTCATTTAGATCGAGTGAAATTGCAAGTTAAATTGCTGTGAAAACAGATGGGGTAAGCTAGAGGTGTGATTCTGGATGATTTCTGAGCTGAAATTTCTTATCAGCTTGGTGTTATTATTACTATATATTTACTTATTAAATTTAAGCAATTTATTTTATATATATATAAAATTTGTTTATAAAACATCACTTATTGACAGGCACTGGGGCTGTGTACTCACAGAGGATCAAAATGAGGCCTTCATATTTATTGCTTATGTCATTTTCTTGGGGGAAAATCTTTTGATCATACTTTAGAAACATTTAACTTACCTCTGTAGAGATGTCACTAACAAAATAAGAAGCATTGCTTATTTCCTCTTCCTCATCTCTCTTCTGTCCATCTTGCTCCCCCTCATCACTCTTGGTTTTTCTTTTTTGTCATCTGTAATTAAACATTTTTACATCAACTCAAAGATGAAAGAAAACTAATAATCTAGCTATTAATTTATTAATCTAACACAGAGAACATTTAACAGGAGATATGCAAACATGTCTCTTAGATATCATGCTGAAAACAAAAACAGCTAGATTAGAGGTGAAGTGAACACATTTCTCACAGTTCTGTTTGCCTCTTTATAATTTAACAATGCATCTGAGCTGATAAATATTCACAACTTACAATGCATTATAATACTTGCCTAATTGTGGTCAAAGCCTTTAAGAGTATGATGCATTATACCAGCAGAGAAATGTTCTGTGATGTGGTCATAATGATTTTAAGTGGATTTGTCTGATTCATGTAAAGTAAGAGAAGTTTAGTAATCTTTTAAACAGCTACAGGATATCAAGAACTGTTTAAGACAATGCCCATTAGATAAAGCCAGGGCTGTGTGGGAAAGTGTTTTAATATTTATAAATATGTAAGAATATATGATGTCTTAAATACACACAGTGACTGTGAGCTGATGAAGGCCAGCTCAGCTTACAGGTGTAGAGTCTGCTGTGTGTGTGATCAGCAGCAGCGCCCCTCCCCCATCCCCCAGCAGAGCAGAGCAGAGCAGAGCAGAGCAGTGGGGGAGGGGTGGCGCCTGCTCTCCAACACTTGTTAACTCGTTAACTCTTATAGCAGTCAATGTAGTCAAACTTAAACACCTGTTGAAGACATCTGCCTTAAAATAAAATCAAGGACAGTGTGGGAAAGTGTAAAGTATGATGCAGCTCAGTACTGTGCAGACCTAAAGCAAACAGTCTTAATCTGCTTTACAAAGTGATGACAACAAACATGTGTCCTAATTATTATAACTGCTCATAGATTCAGTGCATTGGATAGCTAAAATGACTAAATGCAGATTTTCCTCAGCTCATTCAGATGTAGATTTTGAAATATTTCATTGATATTTTACAGTGGTTGATGAATTGTTGTTCATGTGAAAATATGATGTCTAACATGAGAATGTGATTAGTTAAATCCTCCTGATAGCAGTTTAGTGACTGTCTGATGATGCTGCAATAATGTCTGCAAAGTTAAAAACATGCTTTGATCAAAAATGAGAAGTTGGGAGGTTTTATCATAGTTTAGGACATATAAAAATGTAGATCAATTTATTTTAACATTGTGTCCTATTTTTTCCCCACTTCTTGATAATCAGTGGCTTAATATTTATAAATATGTATGAATATATGATGTTTTAAATACACACAGTGACTGTGAGCTGATGAAGGCCAGCTCAGCTTACAGGTGTAGAGTCTGCTGTGTGTGTGTGTGATCAGCAGCAGCGCCCCTCCCCCATCCCCCAGCAGAGCAGAGCAGAGCAGAGCAGAGCAGTGGGGGAGGGGTGGCGCCTGCTCTCCAACACTTGTTAACTCGTCAACTCTTATAGCAGTCAATGTAGTCACACTTAAACACCTGTTGAAGACATCTGCCTTAAAATAAAATCAAGAACAGTGTGAAAAAGCAGAGTATGATGCAGCTCAGTACTGTGCAGATGTAAAGTATACAGTTTTACTCTGCTGTTTAATCTAGCTTACTCTTGAAAGCTATGAGAACAAATATGTAGTTAAAAGTATGAAGTATTATAATGTTTTATAACTTATGTTATAATTATTATATACAACATTATTTTAAGGTTGTTTCTAAGTCATGATGCATTCAGGATGCTGCTTTAGGAATAAATACTTTTTTTAATTTAAAAAAGTTATAAAACTGAGTCAAATATAATCAGAAACTGAAGTGTAAATGTTATTAGTGATTATGATCGTGCATTGAGTGTCAATCAGCTGTTTGCTGTTAATGAGAGTTCATTAATTGATGGATGAGGAGTAGAGAGAGAGCAGCTCCCCTCCCCCACTGCTGCGCTGCTCTCTCTCTCTCTCTCTCTCTCTCTCTCTCTCTCTCTCTCTCTCTCAGCCGTCATTAGCGATCTCTCCGTCAGGTACAATCAGACTTCAACAGCTCACTAACAAACTTAACTCAGCTGAATATCTTTCTATGTTATATCTTAATCAGCTGAGGTGAATGAAGGTGTTCACTGAGGAACAGCTGACTGTGGCAGCACTCAGATACAAATTCATAAGTCAACACTTAATTAGTTACTTAATTGCTCGACAGCATGAGCTAATAATTAATGAATTAGTATTAAAATCATGACTTACTCTGTCGTGTTGTCCTTGTCATGTACCTGGCCTTGCAGGTGCTGTGGTGTTGATGCAGCCTCTGTCTTCCGCTATACCGATCCCTTTAATCCGGCCCACGTGAGCGCATTGTCATTTACATATATGGTCTTAATGTCAAAACATCTAAAAAGAGCATATTCCATTGGTCTATCATTCAGCCTATCAATCCGACCGAACAATGAGCGAACCGTCCAATCAGAAACTGTGAAGAGTCATCCTCTTGCAGCCAATCAAAAAAAGCTGCCGTAAACCCGTCTGCCTTTAGGGGGAGCTCAGGAGAATTAAGCAAACACACCTAGTGTCATGATTTGCTATAAAAATAAGGACATTTGGGAAACTCCCACAGCATGATGCCCAGCCCCCCTGGAGCCATTATTGAGCAAAATAAAGTGAGGACCTCAATTTTGTCCTCACTTTATCGAAATGTCCTCACTTAAAAGGTGTTTTGTCATGAATTGGTCCTCACAAGTATAGCATTACAAACACACACACACACACACACACACACACACACACACACACACACACACACACACACAGAGGATTTCCAGAGCATTTACACTCACTAGAGCATGAGTGCAGACTGTGCTCCCTAAAGGTTACATTGGCTTTAATGAGCATCAGTGAAGCACATTCAGACAACCAGCTCTTTACTTGCAAACTTCTGAAACATCCACAGACTGCAATATTGCATAGGGGTTTGACCCCCATAATTAATGCTTGATGCACCAAATAGACATCAAACTGAGATGTGTGTGTGTGTGTGTGTTTGGTGGGGGGGTTTTGCCCCTCTGGCCCAACTGGACCTGGATATTAGAGCTCTCCCTCCTCGTGGCGGCCCTCCTCTGGCAGATCCCTTTGAGAGAGGACCTGCTCTCTCAGTGATAGGGCACCATCTGGCACCCTCGCCTTCATCTTTGGAACCTACACGTTTGGTCCTTAGACACGAGGAAGACTTGGGTAACCTACCGACTGCGGTGGTTAATACCATCACTTGGGCTAGAGCAGGGGACCTGGAGGCATTTTTCGGTCAGTGACTCGTGCCTGTAATTCGGGCTGGTTTACTCTCATGTTGTCCTGAGACCCCGCCCGGATATGTGCCCAAGGTTCTTACCGCACCATTTAAAGACCAGGTAGTGAGCCTGCAAGCGCTGCCCACGGAGGAGGCAGACCCAGTCCTTTCATTACTTTGTCCAGTTCGCTCTTTGCAAATTTATCTGGACTGCACTCAGAGCTTTAGATCATCTGAGCAGCTCTTCGTCTATTGTGGTCGGCAGGAGGGAAGTGCCGTATCGAATCAGAGGTTGGCCCACGGGATAGTGGATGCGTCCTGGCTTACCAGAGCCAGGGTGAGCCGTGTCCCCCAGGAGTGCGTGCGCACTGCACTCGGAGCTTCGCATCCTCTTGGGCGCGTGCACGCGCCACCTCTCTAACAGACATCTGTAGAGCTGCGGGCTGGGCGACACCTAACATATTTGCAAGGTTTTACAATCTGCGAGTGGAGCCGGTTTCCTCAAGGGTATCAGGTAATCCTTGGCGACTGAGGAAACAACACGGTTAAGTTGTTGAAACACGCTTGCTGCACCATTCTCCCTAACACGGAGATACATGCGCTTTTTCATCTGTCAGTAAAGTTCCCCACTTAGGTGAGCCCTGCAGATTCCTCCGAGGCCCCCAACGCTGACTCAACGGAGGAGTCACTCGCTGGCCCATTACATTGTAGGTCTGCCCTCTGGTCAGCCCGCGTTTTGGGTATAGGTGCCCGCTATGCGTGATCCCCACTAGGCGATCCCATATGCTTATTCAGCCACGGTGCAGTCCCCCCTCAAGGGCGGACCCGTGTCTTCCCTCTCCGCTAACCATCTTACTATATGCGTACTCCCTCTTTTCAGGGCTAGTCCATATATACTATCATCATATTTCCTCATTGGGTAGCAGGTGGCCTCAGTAGTATCCTCCCTATCGGGACTGCACGCTTTCCCAACGTACTGCCGTATTAAATTCTAGAAATTATCTAGATGCTTGCGGCTCCCAAAAATTATATCTAAATCCGTAAATCTTCTTTGAAGTGGGATAAGTAAGGGCCAGGGATCACATTGGAAGACTGCGCCTCTGTATGATGCAGGAGTGCTCGCGCTATGCCTGGCTATTTCCTCTCATCAGAGGCGAAGGTAAGGTGCAGTCATTATGGTGTTTTCCAGACATTTCCCCATACATGGATTAAATCCACTTATAGCATTGAAGTTCCCCATCCAAAGGGGAACACTCTGGTTACTAAAGTAACCCACGTTCCCCGAGGAGGGGAACGGAAATGCTATATTGCATCGCCATAATGATTGTTCCTTAGCTGTAGGTATCAGTCTCTTCAGCTTAAAAAGGTAAGTGTCTTCTTGCTTTCGCTGTGCTTTTATGCTAAATTGATAGCAACAAGCATCATGTGCGCAAGCTGACGCTGCCAATTCATTTGGCATTTCATTGGCCCGTTTACATACTCTTTCAGACGATTGGCTTTCTGAACGAAATCCCCATTCGTGGATAAAATCCACTTATAGCATTTCCGTTCCCCTCCTCTGGGAACGAGGGTTACTTTAGTAACCAGAGCGTTTATGCATTTTATTGTATAAAAGTTAAAATAACTCATATTTTTAGGTTACAGGACCAAAATGCTACATTTTATGTAATGTTCAGTCAACCCTACTTGATTGTTTAAGTAAAGACAATATTAGAGTTTTCAGTGTATGTCACCAAATATATTATTCTAAAACCCTATGCCAGCAGGTAAAGAGATCTGAGAACTAATAATAACTAGGTGTCTGTTAGGTTGTACTAACTCTTCCGAAACCCTTTAACAGATCTTTCTAATGTACATGCTACATCCAATTAGCTAGCAGTAGAAAATACAAGCCACCCCCACAATATTCTCATTTAATATTGTGTTTCCCTAGGAACTGCGTCAGATAATGAAAAAAATTGGTCGCAGCTTCCAGTTCATAGGTACTTTAAAGGGATTTCGCTAATAATCAGCTGTCTCTATTGTTTACTGTTGGTTGCTAGGTTACCAATACTACAGTTATCCACTCTAAGAACTTGATGGAAACCTAATCAAGACCTAAGTCACTTTTTTTCCCTGTTTTGCAAACATTAAACCATGCGCTTCTTGTTAAGACGGAAACTCATCTTGTAAACTATTCATGTCATGTCTTGCCTAGTGCATTTTCCTTAATGCTGCATACAGAAGGCCGATAAAACACAAAAGATCATGATTGATGCCGTTTGAAAGGAGCTCTTATTCAGCAATCTATCGTTCAACATATTAAACAACTTAATGCCTGATGAATATATGTCCATTAAAGTTGCACTAATTGGTCTGTTGATATTTAGACAGTGCATTAGCATTGAAGTTCGCTCGACTAATGGTTTGATTAGGGACTAGAGCTCTCCGGAGAGTGTAATTCATCTGGAAGAGGGAAACCTATCAAAGCATCTGATACACCAGCCGTTCCAAACTACAATGTTAGCTCTTTGTTAGCATGGACAGAGACGAACGCATGGACGAGGAGGACTGGAGACATGAGATCGGGTGTTATTGGGGGAAGGTAGGAAGGAAGGAAGAGGAAAGGACGAATGTCAGATGAACTGTGATGGACATCTGATACGTTACGCCTGCGACCACCATTTTAATGCTGATAGTGTGATCATTCTGTGGCCTCAAACTGACCTCACAATCAGTGTCTTGCTAATCGGAGAGCAGATTCCTCTTCTGGTAGACTTCCTCAATGAGAAATCAGCAAAGAAAGTGATCTTGATTTTAGGTTTTAATTGTGTTCATGTGGATGAAAAGGTGTTGTACAATTAGAGACTGTTATATAGCATAATAGCATTACACTTGAAATGAAGCATCATCACTAATGAATATCATTAAAAAACAACAGTTGTCAGGCCAAATCAGAAGCTCTTTTCTGAAAGACTGAGAGAAAACATTTTATTGAGGTAGAAATAGATCTTGATAGAGATAAATATACACTGACAATAAAAACCACAGGCTTTTATTTATTTATTTATTTAAAATTTTTATTATTTAAAAAAGATATTATTCATTTTTGTAAATCATATTTAGATTTATAATAATACTACTACTGCTAATAATAATAATAATAATAACAATAATAACAACAACAACAACAACAACAATAATAATAATAATAATAATAATATAAACAATAATAATAACAATTATTATTATTTCTATTATCATTATTATTAATAATAATAAATCAAAATATTAGATTAATAATAACAAAATGAATAATACTGATACTACTACAACAACAACTACTACTAATACTACTTATAATAATAATAATAATAATAATAATAACAATAATAATAATAATAATAGGGTATATGCGGAAGTATGCTAAAGGACTTTTAATTTGTCAGTAACCAGGGTTAAACGCTTCTGATGAACTGTATGCCATTGCAAGATAGGCGCGTTTAAGGTCTGTTTTCTTTAAAAAGCAGCGATCTCCACTGGCTGAGTGATATCCAATATATAGTGGGTTTCAGATTGTACAAGAAACCCTGCATTAAGTGACATTTTCCACTGCTATGTCTTTAAAATATGAGCATTTTTTTCTCCCAGTATATTCAATGGAGCTTCAGCGCTAGCCTTCTCTCAATCACATCAATATCCACCCCTTCTGTTTTTACTATAATTGATATTTTTAACCAATTCTAGTCCCACATTTGTAAAGAATTTATTGAAACAATTTACTATTTCTTCTTTATTATTTATTTTATGGTCACTTTCAATGAAATATTCAGGATAATTTTTACTATCAGTTCCATTTCTTATAATTTTATTTAAAATATTCCATAAGCCTTTCAAATTATTTCTATTATTATCTAATATTTTATTGTAGTATACCTTTTTACTTTTTCTAATAATAGTAATTAATTTATTCTTATACTTTTTATATCTATTTTCAGCCTCTGGGGTACGATGCTAAATAAATTGTCTGTAAAGTATATTTTTCTTTTTGCATGCATTTAATGAACCTTTTGTAACCCATGGACTTATTGTTTGCTTTTTTTTTATTATTAAAATGTACTATTGGGGAATGTTTATCGTATAATGAAGCAAAAATATTTAAAAATTGTATTATATACTTTATCGCTATCAACCTCTTCATACTGTTCTCCAATTTTGTTTCAATGATTCACTTTTAAAAGCATTTATAGTTGAAGTTGTCTGTAACCTTTTGTATGTAGAATAACAAGTATGCTCGTACCTTCTATACTCACATTGATAAACAATAAAAACTGGTAAATGATCAGGTATGTCATTATAAAGTAATCCACTCTCTAAACCACACTCCATGATGTTTGTAAAAATATTATCTATCACTATTGCACTGTGAAAGTGATTCTACTAGGTCTCGTAATAGTAGGAGTAGGATATCCCATACTATACATTGTATTAACAAAGTCTTCTGTTATTTTGTGCCTTTTTGGATTTAGCAAA